ATTTGATGATAAGCATGATTTCCATTTCTTTGAAGTTTAAACTTTCTTTTGGAAACCTATGATATCCATCCTCTCACTTTTCTATTTGAAAAATACTTTTGTGTCCTTGTGTCTATCCTAACCTTGTTGGTATTGTTCCTTCAAAAACCTTGGTCCATGAGCCTTATTCTCCTCAAACAATTGGTATTTAAATGGTCAAAACTTTTGGTACATAGGACAAATTCAATATTGTCTTAATTTGAATTTGAAATCTATGCAATTTATAGAACAAACATTGCCTTTGACAAATTCTTAATATTCTGGATTTTTGTTTTTTGAAATATTAGAAGCTTCCATGTTTAATTTTCCTTAAAATATTTCTATTGACTTGACTTAAGTTATTGGTGTTCATATTTGTATAACTATAATAAGTCTTCATGCATTAATATTGAACATGTAAAAAATAAGGAACTGTTCAAAATCTTGTGCTCAAATTTAGCATTGAAAATTTTAAGCATGATTTTGTAATTAAATGACTTGACTTTGAAGTGAGATTATTTCTTTTTTTTTTTTAAATATTTCTTGTTTATTTAAAAATTACTAAAAAATTTCAATTAAAAAATGTTGCGCTTTTATTAATTTACAATATTGTGGAATTTCAATGGAAAATACCATAATTTAAGGCAAGAAAAAAAAGAAAGGAGTGTGCATTACAAAACACCATAATGTTATGATTTTACTTATTTTGTATCAAATAAAAATAAAATATAAAAATTATTATATTATAATTTATGTCACGTCAAACACAAAATATTTTTTTTTGTCAAATTTATATAATATTTTTAAAAAATTTTAAATCATATTATTTTTATATTTGTTTTACATCCTTTTCATATCATGTCGTAAAATTATCCTTTCTTATTACAAGTTAAATTGCTATGTAGGTAGTAGGAGAAGATTGAGGTAAAAAAAAGAGAAGGATCTCAGGGCATATGTCTCCTAAATCGGACCACTAAAATCATTCTTTTAGGTCACCAATAGAAGTCAATATGAGTTGAAGTTGGGTCCAACCACACCCTTTATATCAGAATAGTATAAGCATAAGAACGTGGGTACTTGTTCTCTCGTTGAAAAAAAATATATAATTGTACCATCTCTCTTCGTCTCTCTCTATAAATTGAGTGTGGAATCTGAATTTTGAAATTTAATAGGAAAAACCTTAGTGGTGGAAGAATTTTTCTTCATTTTTCAAAGGGCATCTAGAATAATAGGACTTGAGAGTCCTTAACTATTCTAAGTGTTCCATGAATGTGTAAATATGAGAAATTAGTAGATATTTCTCAATAATTATAAACTTGACAAATCAAACTTTATGTAAATTATATAATAAATTTATTGATATATCATGTAATTTTGATTTTTGTCTACTTATTATATACTAGTATGATGCTGTATTACTCTTATAATTTCTTCCTTCAATCTCAAACTATATGCATGAGATTTAAAAAAGAGTTATAAGATGATATGGTAAGGGATTTTGAGTGGAGTTTCCTATTCCCACTTTCTTTTACACTCAAAAGACAAACTTTTAAAAGGAAAAATGCTCTATCTTTTTAGAATGGCCAAAAGTTATTCCTTTCCCCCACAAAAGAACATCAACAAGGAACCAAGAGAGTCATTAATTTCTTTTAATTTCACCCCTCTTTTTGACAACACACATGCTTCACAACAACTAAGTAGAAAAACAAACCAAAATTAAAAAAAGAAAAAGAAAAAAAAAATGCGTTGAGAGGCTCCTTACAATGAGTGGAGATCCATTAACAAAAGAATCCTTCATAAAAACTCCTTTGCAGAGGGGATAGGATTCCCTCCTCCTTTTACCATCCTCTAAATTTGCCAGACTTTCTAGGGCAAGTCAACTATAAAGCTGAACCCTCTTTTTTCGCCCTCAAAAAGAAAAAAAAAACTCTCAATTCAAAGGAATTTTCCCTTCTCATGGTGCTCCCCACTAGGGTATAGTGATTTAAGAACCATGGAATATGGACTGTCTTGCACTTAAAAAATTGATATTCTATAAATACACTTAATTAACTTAAACTAATACCATTAATTATTGATTGTATTATGATGTACTCCACAAGGGACATCGATTATCGATAAGCTCTTCTAGATATGATAACTTAAACATGATTAAGTTTGCAGTACAGGGTTAAATTCACGGTACTGGATTTTGCGAATCAAATTTTATTCTTAAAACTTTAATGAAGATATGGATTTTGTTTATGTAACTAAATATAAATAATAATAAAAAAAAAGCAACAGCATTAAGCCAAGTCATTTTCAAACTATTCGTTCAAAGATTGTTATCACAAAAGTTTTAATTTTTAAATTTAAAATTTAATTCAATTGATTTATAAAATAATTTTTAAAATAATATTTAATAAATAAAAATTAAATTCAAATCTTAATCCTTACAATTTATTTTTTATTTTAAATTATAATTTTTTTATATATTTTTTTTCTTACATATCCAAAAAGAAAAAGATCGGCCTGAGGCTTCCTTAATCATGATGTCACCTGCATTAATTGATCATCAACAAGTCAAACCTAATCCATGCATTTAGTTGGGGTCCAATTGTTTTTTTTTTCATAAAATCATGACCTCCAAAATTTTACCGAGTCTTTTTCTTTAAATTGTCAGCTTATGCTTTGTTGTGAATGCATGTAAATGTCTAATCCTTTTTTTTTCTTTTCCTTTTCCTTTTTAATGTATGACAGCCCATGAAACACGAAACGCTTGCTTATTATGTGAAAGCTATAGCGCAAATGACTCCCTCATGATCAATTAGGGTCTTTTTTTTTTCTCTTTGATTTTTTTATTAAATTAGGTATTGTTAAAGCTGAGATTGATTTTGCAAAGATAACAAGTGATTGGTACAAAGATGAATAGCTTTTGAATGATGACTGACGAGATAATTAGATAACTCAAAAGGAGAGAGTTGTGATTGAGAGAGAGAGAGCTCTTAAAATAAACTTTCCTTGTAGTAGTTATTATGGATTTCATTGTCCATGCAAACTCATATATAAAACAAAAGACATAAAGATAAGGGCATGCTACTTATTTGACTCCTCTTTTGTATTTGATTCATCCAACATGAAATTATTTGAGGAAGCATATGGGATAAAATAATAATGTAAGCATGGAGCCATTAAAACTTGAGATTCCTAGTTTCGAGGATTCAAACCACGAGAGTTAGTTTCATTGATTAGGAAAAATGAGTTCGATTATTTATCAATTAGAGTTCGATTTTTGTGAAAATTAAAAAATATTTTGGAAGTAAAATTTATCGAAAATATTCTATTGATATAGGTGAGAATATTCTAATGGCGTCATAAGAAGTCTGAGAATGTAATTTTGAATATTTGAATGAGTTTGAAATGACAAAAGACTTTTTTTTTTTTTTTATCTAATCCATAATCATGTGTATAAAAGAAAATAATGTTATATGATATAAAGAAATGCCTTTCATTTTGGATAAGACCGAAGTGTCAATTACAACTTACCGAAAAAAAGTGTCCATTGCATTTAATTTAATTTAATGAGGTGATAAAATGGAGCCAAGGTTGGAGCAAAAGTCTAAAAATTTCAATCCTAGAGATACTTCTTTTACAAGTGTAAAGATATCTTTACTTTGGTGGTGTGATGGATGATCTAAAAGTATTGAAAAAGACCACAAAGAAAAGCACAAGTCCATTATGAGTTTTTAATGTTTTAAGTTATGCAAATACTAAAAGTTTTTATGGCAATAAAAAAATGTTCTTAGAAAATTATGATAATAACTCAAGTTTGATCTAATGGTTATTATTTATTATTATTTTTCAAAATTCAACTTTAATTATATTACCTTCATATGTAAATAAGAATTTTGACTTATAACAATTATATGATCTCTTAATAAAATATTAAAATTTTAATTTTATTAATTAAAATTTAATTTTTGACTACATCAATTATAAGTTTCATGAATGAATTTAAGACATCAATATCGTACAAGGTTTGAGGTGTTTGTTTTATGCCAAATTTTGTTTTTTTTTTTATTAGATTTGACGATTTATGTATTTGTATCGTATAAAATATTAAAATTCGTATATTTGTATTGTGTTTTATATAAAAATTACAAATCATAATTCATGTTGATGAAAAAATATAAAATATATATTTTTTATTTTGTTAAATTTAAATATAATTATTGTTAAAACTTTAAACCATATCACCTTCATGTCTTATATTTATATTGTATTCATATCGTGTTACCATATAGTATTTAGATTATCATATTTACTTTGTACAATAGTCAAAATTTTAATAGTGGTAAAACAAAAAGTTGCAAAATTTTAATTTATTATTGGACACCCTTTTTCCCTGGGAAGAAACTATTTTTTATTACAGGCATGTAAAAGACCACATGGGTCATGGGCTCAAGTTTCGAATATTTTTCACTAAGTGGCTTTTGGGCCGTCTTACATGCAAGCAGTTCAATAAGAAAAATGTTGTCAAAATCCAATTTAGAATGACGAGATTTCATAAAAAAAAAAAAAAAATGAATGATAAGGAGATGATGGCAATTAGTTTTCTATTGATAAGAGTTGCACAATATTAAATTTTTCTCAAATAAATATTTTTATTATGAGAGAAATGAATATTCAAAGTTTTTTTTTTATATATTTAAAATTGTTTAAAATTATTTTTTTAAAAAAATGTCAAAAATTAAATTCTTATTATTAAAATTAAAAGTTTCGCACTATATTAAAAAAATCATATGGTTGTTGACATTGGAACCCAATTTTTTGAGCATGAAAACATCTATATGATTGGAACATGGAGAATGACAAAAACCTTTGAGGTTGATATCATCTTCTAACTTGTAATCTTTTGGCTGATTTTTCATGGAAATATTGTCCAATAAATTTTCAAGCTAAAAAGATGACAACAACTTAGCACTAAAGTTAAAGTTCATCAATTACACAAACTTACGATCATACACTCATAATCCAATGGAATGATTGGCCAACTCTGGCAAAAAATGTAGTGGATCTTAAAATTTAACTGGGATTATATTACATGTCTTCTGGTCTAGGCATTCACTAAACTTTTGTATACTCAAGCTGTTTCTCAAACAGTCGTCCATCTTATTTCAACATGTATCACTCCATTCCTTGAATTGATTAGGTGGTATTTCTGGTTGATACGTCCATTATGGACAACATCTGTGAGATTGATATCCACGTTTCCCAAGCGTTCCTACATAGAAAATGATTTAAGGAACTAATATTGCAGAGTTTATGGTACAATGAGAATGTAGAAAGTTGCATACCTTAGATCGGAAACTAATGCGGCTTCGCTTGCTCATAACCTCGATGTGGATCTTCTCATTTAAAGGAGGCTTTTCAAGCATAAACTGGAACTCTTCATTCCAAATGGGATCGTGGGTTCTCTTGATCCTCTGAAAACACCATTTTGTATTTCTTTCTTTTATATAAAACAATAAACTCATCTAGGCAGAACTCAGAAATGTTACACTAACTGTTGAATTGTTAACTGTCAGGATTCACGAAAGTAATTAAAAAAAAGCACATGTAGCAATCCTTTAAAGGAGAATTGCGAGAATAATATGTATTTAAATGAGAAGTTCACCTTTGTCTTCTTTTTTTCTCCTCTGAAAAGGACCACAGCATAAGGATTACTATGGCGTTCACCCTCAACATCCTCAGCTCCTTGAACCAAAACTGAAAGCAGGCCTGCTCCGCCAAAGACCTCACTGTCAGATGGCCTGTCTAATCCGCTTTCCTTTCTCCCATATCCATCATGAGGACCATCTAATTTAATGCTGTCTTCTCTAAAAGGTGCATATGTCAGCTCAACCACAATTTTCCCTCTTTGCTTCTTATCTTGAGGATCAATATTAACATTTGTGTGCTTCAGCAAATCAAGTTTAAATTCCTTTGTCTCATAGGGTGTAAGAAGTTTCAAGGGAACAAACTGCATTCCCAGCCGGTCATGAGTACCAACCTGTAAATAAGAACATGTAGGAAGAAGAAACAATTTGAATCAGTATTGAGATAAAATCTCGTTTGCTCCTTAAAATTTCATTCTATTATCAAATAAACTAGAAGGTGAAGAAACCTTGTCCCAGTCAAAGACTTGTAGCTGAAGAACTTGAGATTGGGGGTCCTTCACAATAAGCTTGAACTCCTCATTCCATTCAGGATTCAAGTTCCTCTTCTTGATGGTCGTTTTTTTTTCTGGCAGCCCGTCTCCAGTTAGGTTTAATTTGACATATGGATCTGATGTTCCTAGGATGTCCTTCTTTAGGAGTTTTTGTGCCCGCACAACCTTCACGTGTAATATTCCAACAGGCTTCCTTACAGCCACTCTATAGAAGGACCAAAATAAAAGCTAATACAATAAATACAAAATTCTTTATCTTTATATAAGAATTGAATGAAAAAAATTTACCATATAAGCATTTTAGATCATGTACATATGGTTCACCAAGGACCCCATACTTGAAACTTCAACTCAAGAAGCTTGTGGAGATGTTCAATAGAGATATCAAATCATCCCATTCTTATTTTCCATGACAAATATTAAGATTTTATTATACATGAAATTTCATTTTCACCAAGCCCTTAAAAGTTAAAACAGTTAACTACATGCAGTATCTATTATGTACATGTAAGTTCTAGAAAGTTCTGTAAGAAAACCGTTGTTTATACCAACATGGTATATTAACAGAAACTTACGTTGCAGGATCAAGAATAGGTATCTCTAGTGTTTGTGGCCAAAGATAGAGGCTTGCTACTTGCCTTTTAATTGTTTTCTGCAGGCAACTAGAATAGTTAGTTGACTCCTCTTAAGACAAAATCCTAAGTACATAAACCCCCCATGATTATCCAAATTCAGACAACTAATAAAAATCCCACTCTTTTTTAATATAGAAATTACCAGTACAGCACCTGGATAAACTGATAAAGGCCGGGTATGGCCATTATATCCCCTCCAAGTAGATTCATCCCAAAGTCTACCTCAGGCTGCAAGTAGGTAGTAAAAATCATCACTGGAAAACAATAGCGGCATCTGTTTATGCTTAGAAGAGGATATAATCATTTTAATCCTATGATTTTCAATGTTCAAAAATTTTTACTAACCTTATCCAGCAGAGATACTACAACAGTTGCAAAACATGGTAAGGTAGGTACAAGAGGTTTCAAAGTTATCCGTGGTGCCATAAACATTTGTAAATCCACTAACTGTGAAGAAGCATAATCAAATTCTCAGAGAAACACATATTTCTTCTACAAACAGAAAAGATACATTCTTCTTCCAATTCTATCTCTAGACTCTTCTGACCTGAACTGTGATTCGGAAAAACAACAGCTTCAACACCAAAACTATGTTTGGATTGCCAGCCCATCTAATTGCTGGTTCCAGGACTAGTTCGTTCTCATTACTTTCACTGACTTTAAGACCTGCAGATGGTGAAGTACAACAAAATGAGAAAAAACCAAAAAGTATAGGGCTGGTGCTCAAGAATTCCCATGCTTAAACTTTTGCTCATACTATGCTATGACTTTTGGTGAATAAATTGACATGCATTTCTTTTGGTAGAATCCTACTTATTCACATGTTTTCCAGTCAAGAACATAAGTAATTATATCACAATAATATCTAGGAGTGAGTCAAATATGATGGGAAATACCTGAATGATTTATAGATATTTCCGCCTAAAAAGGATTTTCACCATAGGTTTTCTGACAAAAAGCTCAAAATAAAAAACTGATCTCTTTCTCTTATCCAAAAATTTTAACTTGTCTTGTGATTAGATAAATACCCCATAAGAAGTTCAAGCATGAGAATGTGTTTTGCAGGTTATTTTTAATCTTCCAGTGCTTGGTGCAAATAGAATCCTAGTTGTGACACTGACAATGGCTTTGGTAGTTTGGGCTATGAAATGATAATTTTGGGATTTTCATGGCCTCGTCACAGATAATGAGATGCAAGTGAACCTGGCTTTCTAACATAAAAGTTCAGGGGCAGACAGAGTATATTTGGTGCTATCTTTGGCATCAACTCTCATCACAGTGAAAAAATAAATACAGCAGAGCACTTACCATGAATTTCTGGAGGAATAGTTCCAAGACTTAGATTATCAAACTCAATGGCTTCTATCTGAAACTTCCCAATATACTCTGCAAATATGGGTTCTGTCACGCTTCTTATTCTAGCACAAACTGCCTGTAGATTAAACTTAAACTCCTGCTTGATAGCCAAAATAATAGAAAATCTCAATACTGTTTAAGACATCAAACTACCTTATCAAGGTATGGCCACATATCAGTAACAAACTTGTTCAGCCAATCCACCTGAATAGTTGCACAATTACCATCAATATAAAACCAGAGGAAAAATAATAAGTGTTAAGAATATAATTTACTAATTATGATAAATAACTGTAATTTGTAATACTTACTCTCTCATAATCAGGGCATTTCACCCATAATGGAATATCAGGAAGAAGATCCAGTAATGCACTGCTATCTAGCTCGTAAAGTGGCCTAGTGATTGGTTCCTATACGAAGTAGTCCAAATATGAGCTAAAACAAGCATAACTTAGGTGGAAAGTAACATCACTATCAACATGGAATTTCAAATCTCAAAGTTTAATTACGCTTTCTACCATCCAATTAATGAGTTAATAAAAGTAAAGTTAATCTGATGCTTCATGGAATACAGAAGGAATTCCATTTCTTGTTGCAATTCACATGACCATTGCCATTACTTTATTTGATATACTAAAATCTGCCTTCGTCCATCCAAAGATTTATATACACTCCATCCTATCTTAAATTGATAATTCATATTTTCTTTTTCAACTATTTCAGCTGGAAGATAGCGATGGAACAACTAAAGGCATTATTAGTTGGCCATATTAAAATTGCACTAATATAATAATATTGAAAGTTTAAAATACATGAATGAGTGCAAAATAATCAATATAGACCATAAATAAATTATGATAAGTTCATGAATGATTAAGGGCTTCTCTAGAATAAAGATTAAAAGCAAGAAAACAAATTAAAGATGGACCATATCTACTTGTACAAAATTTCTGTTAGTTCCCCTGTAAGCTTAGAATCCCACTGAAAGAACAATTCAAAACCACAAATTCTTGACTATTAAAAGGACATAAAATTCTGACTTTGCTTTTCCTCCAAACACTTGACTTTGACAACAAGTAATTCTCTACAAATCAAAATATATCAACTTACAATAAACATGAAATATTCTTTCACAAAAAAAAAAAAAGCAATAAAAATTGCAAAGAAAAGAATAAAATTAAGGGAAAGCATATAATTATAGTCACAAGTTACTTGGCTAGAGACTTAGATTCAGGCAGTAATATTCCTCTCGTAAAGATTTGTATATAATTACAATTGAACAGTTTCAGTCAGTTAAAAAAAAAAAGTAGAGTAAAAAATGTATAAAACCAATAACGGAAAAGTAAAAGGAAAAAAAAAAAAACCATGTTTGTGAAGGCTTTGAAGAAATCAATGAAAACCCAGATGAAACGTAAAACCTCGATACAAAACATTATGAAGCTCTGATACATTATTATCTCTAAACCAGCAATGGAAAATCATTAAACTTTAACAGAATAAAATAAAAAGATAAAAAGAAAGCATTTTTTACAATAGAAATGAAGAAATTAACAAATACCCAGATGAATTCTTAACAAGAAAAACCAGAAAATAAATGGAAAAGCATTCAACTTTGACAACATAAACTGAAAAGAATGAAAAAAAAAGACTCTATTTTGCAAAGGCTATGATCTTGAAAACAATTAACAAATACCCAGATGAAATCTAAACAAGAATAATGAAAAAGAAAAAAAAAAGAAACATAATTTGAAGCTGAGATAGTTTGTATACCTTTACAGGTTTGGGCTTGGAGTAAATGAAGAGAAAGAACCCAACCACGAGTCCAAAAGGAATTCCAATTCCAAAGCCAATAATACCCAACAAAGTACTCAACAATCCCATTTTTTCACCTGTCAGCTTAGTTTTTCTGACGAAGAAAACATCAAGCAAAATGGGGTTGGTTCAAAGACACTGAAACAAAATTGAAAGTAGACGAGGATTGTTTAAAACTGGGGGTTTTGACGAGAAAGTCAAGAAGGAAAGGTTTCTTTTTTCTTACAGAAGCATAACAAAGACAAAGAGAGGATCTTTGTGTCCCTAAATAAAACCGCCAAAAAACCATAGACAAGTTGCCAACTTATACATTTTCCGTTCAAAATTCAACTTGCTTAAGGTTCCGGCTGCTCTCAAACACTCAAGTTTCGTACCCGAGGAAATGGACGACAATGTTTTGTATTAACGAAAAAAACGTTGAAGTGTCTGACAATCCAATTTGACAATGACTAGGATTATTTAATAATATTTAATAATTTAAAATATTATTTTAAAATATTATTACTCCTCTTTTTATTATTTAATAATTTATCAATTATTTAAAATATTTTAAAGAAATATGTGATAGTCTTTTAATTTTATTTTATGATGAAATTTAAAAATTTCATAGACCGTATATGAAAGTTTTTTTTATTAATATTATTAAAAACAAATAAAAAATTTTGAACATGTACTTTTTTTTTAGTAGAATGATTCTTCTATCTTGGATAAATTAAATTTCATTATTGATATTACAAATATCAATTTGAAATATGATAAAAATACCTTTTTTGCAAGGAGGAAAATATTATTAAATTACGAATACTCTCCTCGTCCTACATTTGTTGTTTATTTTTTTATGTCCTAAAATCATGGTTATCAATACTGTATATCAGTGATACTGGTCGATATGTATTAGTTTTTGAAGAAAGTCCATATGATACTAATATTGTATCTTTTGTATTGGTCTCAAAAATAAAATAAGATTTTTTAAATAAAAAATTAAAAAATAACATGAAAAATAAATAATATGATAATAACTAGATATTTATGTTATATATTATATATTTTTTTAGATATTAATATTGCATAAATAACTTGATTACCGATATTAGTATAGAGTATCAAGTATTTAACAAAATAAAAATTTTATTTTTTAAATATCAAATTAACAAAAACTATATAACCCAACGATCATTTTTATATTTATTGACCTATAATTGTTCTTTCTTTGGCAAAAAAGAGGAGGCCAATTCTTGATGAGATAAGGACTCAAATTTTTGTGTTTGTTTGATATCTAGGGGATGGAGCATTTGTCATATTTTTATGGATTTACAATTGGTAAGCCCTTTTGTTTTCTAATCAAATTGTTGGAAAGTATATTCTCTTTACTTTTATACTAATTCCAAAGTTTAGTGAGACTGTAATTATTGTCCCAAACAACACAAAGGAAAAAAACAAAGCAAAGAAACATGAGAAAAAAAAAAACAAAAGATTTTTTCTTTTTTGTTCTCAAGGGAGAAGGTTATTTAATAATTTAAATTTAATATTTTTAATTGAAAAGGTTTCGAGTTGAGATCTTAATTCGAGATTCTATAAATTTTTGTACATAAAAAATTGAGGAAATCAAAATATTTGAAATGCATAATGTGAAAGCAAGTTGATAGAGGAAGTTAAATATATTATAATGTGAAGTACTCGTCATCTTGTGGCTATAGGAAAAGGAAAATGATATCTCATTCAATGCCACAGAATTTATATAATGCTTTGGGAAAGTGCTTTCTGAATATATATATATATATATATATATATATGCATATGTATATATATATATATACATATGTATATATATGTATGTATATCAATGACACAAATTCTTCCTTTCTTTTAAGTTTTTTTTTTTTTTGAAAAGTCACTTCTTCTAAGGATTATATATATAGTTTTTGTTGCCTAATTAGTTCAACCAAGTGAAAATCATGATCTTTTAAAAAAAATAATGATCATGCATGTCTTCCATCGAGTTGGTAGGAATTGGAGGTGGCAATGGATCTCCATAAATGCTATAATATACAAATATCCTTAACATGTTTGTTTGCCCTCCCTCCTTACTACGTAATCTGATTTAAGAGAGTAATCGATCGAGTTTGAATTGATATAGTATTAAATTTGAACTCAAGTTCAATTTAAAATTTGAGACTCGAAACTCGACTTGAATTCGATCGAATTTTATTTTTTTAATTCGAGTTTTACTCAAGATAAAAATCGAATTACTCGAACTTCTTCAATTATATTCAATTAACATGTGAGAAGTTTGATTCTTATTAACAAAAATTCGATTATTTATACTCGAATTCAAACTTGAGTTTGAGATATTTTATTAATTAAAATAATAAAAATATATTTAAATATAAAAATTTGATTAAGCTCGCGAGTTATTTAAGTTGGGTATAATAATACTTGAATTCGATTCAATCGATAAGTTTAGCTACTCGAGTTTGAGCTCGACTTGATAATAATTGAGTCGAATTCGAGTTTTATTCGAATCGAACTTGAATAGTTTGTAAATACTAATGTATCATTTATACTCTTAGTCTAACCGTGTTTATGGAATTCTTTTCAAAAAATAAACAGTATAATTCATACATAAATATATTATTTTTTTAGTGTAAAAGATGTGAAATAAAAAATAAATTGTTGATAATAAAATTTGAAGATCAGCTAGATGTCATATTTTTAAAATAATTATATAGATTAATTAAATTAAATTTTAAATTATATATATTTATTTGTCAATTTTACTTTTTATGAGTTGAGTTGGTATAATGGAATAGTGATAATTATAATTATAAGTTTGAGGAAAAATATTTGAAGAAAATTTTTTAATACTTCGATAAAATTATAAGGGAAATTATTTCTTAAATTATAATAATAAATTTATAATTTAAAAACTTTACTGTTTATTTTGAGAATTTCTTAAATTATAATTATAAGTTTATAATCATAAAGTAGTAAATCTTATGCATTTTTAAATTATTTATTAAAATTGTATCATGACGAACAGGTACAAAGGATAAAATTATAAATCAATCAAATAATATTATTAAAAATTTCTTTATCATGAAATCAAAAGATTTTTTATTAAAAGAAGGTTTTGAATTGGTAAATCTTAGGAATTTTTAAATTATTTATTAAAATTTTATCATGACGAACAGATAACGAGGATAAATTTGAAAATCAATCAAATAATATTATTAAAATTTGTTTATGAAATAACGAGATATTATATTAAAATATTAAAATTTTCTTTTGATTTAGGAGATCTTGTCTAGTGATTCGAGGATTTGGTATCGTTTCTTACCGGGGAAGAAACTTTGGGAAAACAAACTTCAAAAGAAAAAAGTTTGAAAAAATATGTTTGAGTTTATTTTTGATGTCTCGTTAATATATAAATTTTATATATTATTAATAAATTAAATAATATTATTTATTAATGAGATAAATTAAATAATATTATTTTATTAATAAATAATTTTTTTAAAAATTAATTTTTTAAATATTTATTTTAAAAATTAATATTTATTTATTAATAAAATAATATCATTTGATTTATTAATATTTTATAAAATTTATATATTAATAATGCATCAAATATATATTCATTTAATTAACAATTAAACCAGTAAGTTATCACGATAAACAAAACATTGGATTAGAAAAACAAGGAAGTTAAACTTTTAAAAACGAGATTACCCTTTAAGTGACGCTAACAACCACACACAAATGAAAAATGATATATAGTAAGTGCAAGATAGAATTATGAAACATTTTGAGGTGGATCTATCTCTGCCAAAGTGGAAATGGACCACTCTGATCTCTTATCTCCATTTATTTATTTGTTTATATTTTGTATTTAAGATTGCGAAATTTTAAACTTTGTCTTAAAAAATTAAAATTCAATATTTTATCAATAAATTCTATAATTGTTGTTAATCTTTGTTAATTTTTTCAATTTTTTGATAAATTCTTTACGTTTCGTATATATAAAACATGTTGGCACTTACAGGTTTTAATTCTTTCTCTCTTTAATTAGGTAGCTAGAAATTATAATCACAATCGAACAATCTTAAATATATATATATATATGTATATATAAATCAAAATTATAAAAAGCAATGGATAAATAAACCAACCAAATAGATCAAACAAACTAGCATACCAATGGAGTTGGAGATTCAATTCGTCTTTGTTACGTTTTGATGAAACAAATTCATTCAGTTCATAGATTATTTGGTTTCTTATATAGGCCTAACCGTTAAAAACTTGACCAGCTCTAGTTTGGGATCATCTTTTTTGAGTATCGAGATAAAAAAAAAAAAAGATGGAATTTATAGGATGGTACATCCAATTGTGTAATCCAAAATCATAAAATAACAATGACAATTAGTAGATGAAATTAAGCACAATAAAAACTTTCTCCATTTGAATATTTAAAAATGTTTCAGGTTTTGATTTACCTATGGCAATTGGAAGGATAAGGTTTCTTTACTTATTATTATCGTACACATGATTGTATTTTAGAAATTAGAATATTTTACAACTTAATATATATAGTGGGATTGATACATCAGGGCCAAGAGTCCAAATTGGACCATTTTCCATATATATGCACATCCATTAAGTCACAACAGCAATTCAAACTTAAGGAAAATGATTAGATCATGCTCCTAGGATCTATCCCCAATATATATATATATATATATATATATATATATATATACTAGTTTAATCTATAATTAATTTAATGGACCACTACTCTCCCCACTCTTGCTTCTATTGGTAGGGCTCATAAAATTGAACGTATCTTATATTAATTAAAATTTGAGTATCTTTTCATAAAATGTTAATTGATTTTAAGTTAGATGTTATCTTTTTTTTTTTTATTAATTTGATAAAATTGATGTGTATATATTAATAATGGAATTGGTAGGACGTGGGCTTATTATGATAGTTAACGTGTCTTTTCTTTTCATAAAAAATGGAATTGGTCATGTGGTCCATAAGAATCAAATTTAATGCTGCAATTTAACATATTACTTTCAAATCGGTTAAAAATTATCTAAAAAGAAAAATTTTCGGTAAAATTCTTCTAATTTTCTACAAAGTGTTCCTCTCACAGCATTGAAATTGCACTCGTTTAAAATCGAGTGGTAAAATTTGATCTATCATCTTAAACAAAACGATAAATTTTGACTTTATTCCCCTTTGTCATGATTGTTACGTAAACAAAGTATTCTTTGAATTTGAGTGGCTTACAAACCTTAATGAGGTGCCCTTGCGTGTTGAAATCTTGTCAGAATAGAATGTAAAATAGTGATTGATCATATCCATTGCATT